GCCTTTGGCAACAAACTTCCCGCTGCCTTTGCATCGCTCGAATTTGTCTAATGCGGTCCTCGCGCTTCCTCTGACCATCATATTCCCAAACAATCCATTTTGACTCCTCGATGATATCAAAATCACTACTCTTTGTCGCCCCCAGCTCCAATGAATAATGCTGCTCTCTGGGAACACTCAGCCCTCCGTAGAAGTACTAGTCTCACGTAATAAACTTGACTAAGCCCGGTTCCCTCCGTGCAAAAAGGCTCAATATCCGCCATGTGACGCTCCATGGTGGTCTGGATGGCAGTCCACCCAAGTCGGCCAAGGTGGGCAAATCCGCGTGTGGGCTGATGCCACCGCCCGTCTATAGAATCAAGATGCCGTCGAGCCTGACGACTCCCACCACAGCCTTCCAAAGTCAGGGTATGTCGAGCCAGGTTGTGGCATTTGGGCCGGCGATGAAGCCGACGCTTGATCTGGCAATTGGAGGAGATTTGTGCCGAGGTTTTCAGCAGTGGAGTCTTCGTAGCGGACGCGGGCGCGGGCGCGGGATGATGAGATAGATGCCTTGGCTTCGAGCGGGCAGTCTCGATTATGCCAGATGTTGGGTCGGAGCCAATGACGTTGGCAAAGTCAGAACTTGAGCCACGGCCTGCAAGACCTGGTCCGCAGCCAGCATCAATGAGGGTTTCATTTTTACCCGCCTGTGGATGTTTGCAAATCGAAAACTGCGTGATATAACTACGGATGGGTTGTAGTCGGGGTGGATGATGCCGTATCTTGGCTTTGGGTGAGATTGTCTAAGCCGAATGTTTTCCCGGATACATGAGGTGTTGGAGTGGTTGTGAAATATGCAGACGTCTTTCGTTATGGGTGAGGTTCCCCTTTCTTTTGTTTCCACTGATGAATCCGACTGCTATTCATACAGAAAATACTGTACCAAGCTTGAAGTGATATTGAATCTCACTATTGCCGTAATCTCAGTGGCGTACAGCGCGTGAGGCTGTTGGACAGTGCTGGGCAAGGCAAGACGAGGTCCATGCCATCCTGTTGTTTCCTCGACGTCGATCCGTCTCTGAGTTTGTTTTTCGCTTTCTCTTTTTCTCTTTTTCATTTTGTACCTGGGTAGGCCTGTCACTGTTGGTGTATGCTTCGTCGTCGAAACCAAAACAGAACGCAAGATGCAATGTAGGATCTTTTTTCCGCTTTAGGAGTTCCCAAAGAACAGCCCATTCATCATTGTCAAGACTCCACGGCGCAAGCCTCGTCCTTCGCGTTGCACTTGCACCGCAAGCATGTCGCGATCCACATGAAGCCATCCCGCTAAATGACGGTCCCCAACCCGTCCCCGGCGTCAGTCATTTTTTCGCTTGTTCGCTGGATGGTTTTTACGCTGTCTGGCCGATAGCAGCGAGCGTCCCTGACAGTGGGCGATTGGTGCTACGACTAGCAGCAGGCCGTAAGATCTGGTGGCACATTACGGAGTAAACTCACGAGTTTCCGAAAACGGGCGCCACGAAAGTTCATGATCGTTAGCTAAGGCGCGGGACGCTAAGGCGCGGGATTTCTTATTCCCACCCGTCATGGATCGTGTCGCCGGCGCCAAGGCTGTCAGCTCATCGTAATCTAAGTGCTGGAGCGGCGTCCAGTTGTGGACGGTTGTGGATTTCGTGTGGGCTGGGACGTAAAATCTTCACCAAAGTAGTACTGGTTCCCTGGTCGTAAGCCATCGCAAGCCATCCGCAACAGAACCACATGGCCAGTCCAGCGTTGCAGTCGGTCCAGGACATGCAGGGCATCTCAAGAAAGAAGAGTCCAAGTGGGCCGAGAGGAAAACGATACGGTCAAATGGTGCATGCTCATGCATCTGCTCCATCACCACGGGTACCGGATTTGTGTTTCGGTCCCGTTTCGCGGGGCGGCAAGCGTCGTCTCGGCGGCTCCGGCTCCTTCGATTTACGGGAGTTTCTGCGTGGATCCGCATCTACGGCACTGTGCGGCATTTGTTGATGAGTCTGCTCTGATGGTTCTCAATCAACAAGTCAAGCCTGTGTCACGGACCACTCTCGTGTCCGTTGTCACACAGGATTGGAGGAGCCATCGGGCCTGGTGTCCGCTCTCATCTGCACCAGCAACATCGCTTCGGCGGCCCGCTCTGCATTTGTGCACTGATTTAAGCTTTAACGAGTGGGCTATATAGAAAATTTGTCAATAAATGCGTCTCATAGGTTGGTGGGCAGGCAAGGCGTATTGTATTTACTTTGAAAGAGCGGCATTCCTTCCACCGCTATCCCTGTATATAACTTTCATTTCGTCAATGACCCCGTCGCAATGGTCAAGTATCCGCGGGATGGTCTGTTCGCTTGTTTGTGTAGCCTTGGAAAAGGAGAAAGAAAAAGATCGAAAGGGGAAAATACACCAGTCGTCGGCCACCTCTTTTGCCCGCAAGTGCCAAAGAGCGAAGCTCGAACTAAGTCTTGTGTTGTACTGCCAGAAGCGGACAGTGGCGCCAAGCAAAAGACTTCTGTAAGGAGCCCCCCATGCTTCAGCCCCCTAGTTGAAGCCTAGTCTTACACAGCATTTCCAAGATTAGCGTTGTGGGCGTCTTCCAGAAATATAGAAAGCGTCGAAAATGGGTGACAAGGTCCCCGACAACTAGTTCACTTAACCTTACCCTCCTCTGCTGGAACTGGACGGCTTGGTTCTATTGAGGGGGGAGCGGCAGTACGAAAATCATCCTAGCCCCCGATCAGTTTTGATCTGATCAACTCGCATGGCGGGAGTGTCCTTTGACCTGGCCAATGTGAATGTCCGGGCCAGGAACCCCGCCTGTCGTCAAGGGCGTTCGACCCGTTGTCGGGTATTCTCCGTGCTCTGTATGGAGTAGTTAATACACACAGTTTTCTGTCACAGCAGACTGGCAAAAGCATTCAGTGCTTTCACGCGAAAAAAACAAGTTCAGATGGCATCCCTGCCTATATGGACCTGTCGAGATGGTCGAGGAGAACCAAGTTCCTCTGGGTTGAGAGGCCAAGAATTGATCCTGGGCAGCACCTACTCAACCTGGCACTTTGTCCCCAGTTGGCCTTTCCAACTTGGGCTAGCCAACTTGGTCAACACACACTTGACAAGACGCAAGACGACCCCAAGACGCCCCCACACCGGGGTCCCTCCGGTCAACATCATCATCCCTGCACAACTGTCAAGGTTCTGGTTGGACGGTGCGGGACAGGCACCAGACATCAATTGGCCTCTGCCCCTGATGTGAGTGATGCCTTCCTCCAGATGTCCAGTCCTGCCAGTCCTGTCTGGTGAGCTGGTGGAATAAAACACATGCACTCTTGGGATAGATTGAGCTAGGCTTGTCAGGCTGTCCGCTGGCTGTCTCATGCCAACCCTTCAGTAGCGTGCACCAGTTGACCCCCGCGTTGCGCTATTATTGTCTGGTGCTGACGTTAGAGAGTCTGGTACTAGATATCTCAGTTGCTTGCCAGTATCCTGATGGTATTTGATATGGATTGTGCTCCAAGGCTCCGTACTTTTTGGCACCAGTTGACCTTCTGTGGAAAAGGCCAACGGCGAGCATCACCCGTTCCAGTCTGATTCTAGCGACTGTCCCTGTCGAGAGAAGCCCCAACAAATTGAAAGCTCCGCCAATATTCGTAAACGCCCCTCTTTCCAATAACTGTGTAATTCGTAAAAGTCATCCGCGACGCAACCGCAATCGTGTTTGCACGCGCGCGTGTGTGTATGAGAGACAGAGAGAGAGCGATGTGCGCCCGCGTGTGTGTGTGTGCGTGTGGGTTAAAATAAAGGCCATGATGGAGCTCTCCGTGCTCCGTAACGGCACATGTGCATATTATATGTGCACAAACATGTAATAAAGGTTACACAACTTTAGAACACATGTCGATGCAGAATCGCTTGGCTTCCCGCCACACCACTTTAGTCTGGTTCCACACGCTAGACATATTGGACAACCTGACCAAACACATGACTGGCAAACTGGGTACTCTGTACTCTCCCTCTTGAAGTGCTGTGCACCCTACTCCATACTCGTCTTTCTTCCTCGCCCCCTCCCGCATGGCCTTGCCAGGCAGATGACCCTTGCTGGACGAAAAAAAAAATTAATAAATAAATAATAAAATCGAATAAATAAATTACTTCGGGGTCTTTCCGAATCCCCCCAGTGGACGGGAGATGAGCTAAGCCTGGGGGGTTGTTCTCTCTCCTCCTCTGTCAACACCACCCAAGAGCCAGGTTGCACTCTGACGGCCAAGACGGCTACTACAGTAGCCAGGTCACCAGTAATAGACGCTACCATGCAGCTTGCATGTACCCAACTCTGTGTCAGACGTCATGGCCCTCCGCCGATGCCACACCATATTACATTATGTATGTCGTCTCCACGAGGAGAACCTGCACGGTCCCGACAATCTCCTCTCACGTCCACCCATCGCAGAGAAGCATGTGGTGACGGTACCTTGGCGGAACCTTGGCACAACATTCCAAATCTGACTTCCGCCCGCGACCCAAAGCCGTCATGCCATGCCGTGCACGTGGAATCTGCATCAGACGAGTACGAAGCAGTCTTCTTTGCATATGTCATATTTCCAATCGGCCAATTGAAATTCACTACATGCTGTGCCACTCATCCCGTTCGGTGGTCACCCCTCAAAACGTTCGCTAAAAAAGAAAAAGAAAACCGCCTGTAATTATTTTCATAAAAAGTCTGCTCATAGACGTGGTGGATATATCCCAATGTCAAAACACAACATTCAAACACCCGCCAGCTTCCCATCCAGAGCATTAAGCCTTACCGTGAGCTGGAACTCTTGGCCTGTGATCCCTGGGTACAGCCTCTTACAATACACCTATCTGCGCCGAAGATCAAACCCCCGCCCCCCTTTAAGTTGAAAACAAGACTTGGTGAACAAAAGTAAATATAAATCACAAGAATAAATGGCGTAATCGTACAGGTTCGATGTCGAATTAGAATCGAGCTCTCCCTAGCCTCAAAGTCCATAGGCACAGTCCGAGACATCCCGTACCAGGATCGCGTTGTGGCCACAGCTGGATGGAATATGCGTTTCTGTCCGGTAGAACCAGTCGTGAATCGGAACCGCATGCAATGTTGCTATTTCAGTTGCTGCTGTTGTTGCCTCTTCTCTGCTTACACTTGTCGTGCAGCAAGTGTCCATTTCTGGCGGTTGTTCGAGTAAACTCAGCGCCGCAATTTGGGCATGTAGCTTTGGCTGCTTGGCCTGATTTCTCCCGCTGATGTCGAAGAAGATTGCTAAAGGTGGAGAACTGTCTGCCATTGCACCCATGCTCCCAGCATCGAGGTTTCGGTCGGCTCTGAACAACTCTGACATGGCTGCCTTCCTGGTTGTAATTTGCATGAGAAATTGGTTGAACCGTTGGCATAGAGTACAAGAGGCTGGTGTCCTGTGCGATAGATAGAGGGGTACGAGTGCTATTGAGCTCATGTCAGACTTTCACTGTAAATCACGGAAACGAGAGACAAGTTCACAGCATACCTGAAGTCTGCCTGTGCAGAATAAATACCCGGGTAATCCATTGGCATGCTGTATGTTGATGGTCTGAGTAAATTCGATTAGCCCATGATGTTTCCGTGACTCATTGTTCTGGAACAACCCACATCGACTGTTGATAAGGAGAAGAGTTGAACATCTGAGAAGTATGCGAAGCATCTTGTAGAGCCTGGTTATACGAAGACAGATACGGCTGGTTGTGTAGAGCCTGTGAAGGTTCTGCGAGGAGGGAGACGGGAGGTGCCGTGGAGTAAATCGGCAGAGGGATTGCATTAGAGACATCGCTCATGGCCATCGGCGACGGAGAGGTGGTGTATGAGGCACTGTCGGTGCGTCTCATCCTCGACGTCAACTTGGACTCTCGTCGCACTCTTTCTCTGTGCCTCCTCATCTCCTGTTGCTCAGGTGTCATGGATAGGCGTGGCGGGCTAGAAGCTAGTGATCTTGTCTCGCTGGGAGGAGTCATACTGGCCTCTGAGCCGCTGACAAGAGAATTAAGGTCAGCTCCTAGAATATTGTGGCTTGCTGCTGCTGAGTCGAGAGGCCCTATGAGTTCGATTTAGCTGAGATACTGCTGCCGTATGAAGGGAATAAATAATTCCTTACCAGGCCAAGTAAATACCGATCTGGGTCCCATTGCAAAGGCAGGGTCGAATTGGATTACAACCGCACTGATTTTTTTTTCCTCGGTAAGTGTGTTGCCTGGAAACTGCAGAGGGGAGAGTAGTACCTCATGCTGATTCTTTTCGAAAAGCTCAAGCCCAAATTACTTGTTGGTGGTATGGCCTCTGGCTTTATGTTTCTCCTAAGGAGCTTGTCCACGGTAAAAGTGAAAGGGGAAAGAAAACAAAGAGAGGTGTGATTCTCAGCTTCTTATGCAAGCCTCGAAACAGCGCGCAGCCTTAACAAGTGGTGTGGGAGGGTAAGCGCTCAGGAAGTGACACTGCAGCCGAAACCCCGAAAGCCACAGCAAATAGAAGCGTTTTAGAAACAGCAATTCAGGAATTTCTGCGTTCTTCTTTTCTCAGAGTGTAAGCCGATGTCGTGACATATTTTCCATCGACTTTCCAGTGCCATCCACAGTCGCGAACTTCAAGAAGGGGAAGAAGCCATGTTCTCAAAAGTCCAACTTACAGTTTCTTTGAAGACCCAGGAACTGTTGTTCAGGTTTTAAACAGAAGATGGCCGTTGCCAAGCTCGGGTAAGGGAACAACAATTTGATGTCGAAGACAAGAGAAGTGGCAAAATGAACGAATATATCCTTGGGGGACGTGATTCGCAGAAGGCTGGACAACCAGATACCAGGGCAGGCCTGTATTATAGCACAAGGTCCTACCGAACTTGAGTGGAGTTCATATCTTAGTCTTGATGAAGACGCTGGGGCCATGGTGAGGGAGGGGACTGGCAAGGTGTAGGAAGTGAACTGCCGCCGGGATAGACATCAGATGCTACAAACCCCGTACTCGCGCTCATGATATGGGAACATGGCGGTAACAGCCTGGTCGAAGCATAGCTAGCATGGTTCAGAACCAAACAAGGTACAGACAGCCAGCTCCTCCCTGGGGCATCTGAGTGGTGAGGTTACCCACAGAATCGGAGGCATCTTGCTGCTTGGGGGCGTGAACGTTGCTTGGCATTGCACAGAATACAATGATAAACTGGATGCGCGCACCGGTGGGTATTCTGGGGTGTGGCCACGGTGAAGCAATGGCTCATTGCGACTTATGTATTACTATTGTATACGCAGCGCATGGGTGTGAGAGACCAAGAGGCTGGGCTGCCTACTTGCCTGCCTTGGCCTCGGGAGCCTGTGCTTAGTCGCGCGTCTCTATGGCCGTAGTGATACAGAGACGAGCAGCTTGCTGACCCCAGTCCAGTTAGTTGCGGGCCTGCCACCTCTGACGTGTGGCGCGGTCGGGGAAGGGAAGGGATCGATAGGCTCCTTTAGTCTCCAGAAATGGCGGCCCATCCCAACTGGATAATCTAGCGAGAATGGCCAGGATACCGAATGCAGCCATGGGTGTTTGTTGAAGCCAGGCAGGGTTTGGACGGAGGTGTCCGGTTCGACTAGGGGAACGGCCAGAGAGCTAGTCAAGCCTATGTACTGTCTCCTAACGAGCCATGGCTGTAGTTACGTGCTCTACCACGGAGTGAGTGTGCCTTGAATTGCCCGAGTAGGATGGGTGTGTGCAGAGTCGAAGGCATACCAGGGGTGTTGGACCAGGTGGGTGAGACGAGAGCCGAAGAATTTGACATCGAGCCCTCAGCCAGCCTGGCGGCCGGGCCACTGAAATCAGTCAGCTCGCCTTGTGGTCGCCTTCAAGCACCATCACCATTCTCTCAAGGCTTTCCAAGACAGCGGTCATCCACGTTCGAAGAGAGCGTCGGTACCTGTGATATTACTTGTGTCAGGACTACCTGAGGTAAGAGAGCCGGGCTGTTCTGCTGTCAAATTAAGAGGATATTCTACTGGCAAGTGAAATGATGAACCCGGCTTTTGCCATTGCAATCAACGTCCGCAAGCCTGAACAAATGCCCACGTGCTGGGCGTCGAGGTGAGAATTCCTATGGCACTATCTTCGATAGCAGGATTGGGATCCTTGTTGCCTTTCACTTGAGTGCTTGGTGGGACTCGGCGGTGTTGGACGATGACCTCCCTCCCAGGCTGTTTTCAATGGCAGACGGATATGACCGCAAGTGGTCAACAGGGCCATCTGCAGTATGTACTGTAGTATAGACCAAGGGGTTGGGGCTGTCGAGCCACAAGCCAATGACGCCAACAACGTTAGCGGGTATGCGGTTCTGTTGGTTGATTGCGAACCAGTCCATACGTATGCAGCCAAAGTATTTTGGTCAAGATACTCTTCCTTCATGGCAGTGTCGAACCAAATCTTTGCAAATTTCGCGATGAGCAAACAGGTCCCCTTACTCCGTACACACAACAGGATCCATTCCACCCTGTGCCGCAGGTCCTGGAAAGTGGAATGCCAAAATTAAAAATCAAAACCGAAACCGACGTGTTCATCCCGTAGATCAGAGGTTGACAAGCACCTATGGCTGTCAAAAGTGTTGCACAGAGCAAGCAACTGCAACAGACACCCGGGGATGCTGTCGCTCGTTCAGCCTCCACTTTCTATGCCTGCCGGAGTCCTAGCTTTGTTTTTTTAGTCCAGTGAGAGAGATGTGGGAGGCGTTGGTGTGTGGACCTCCCTCTAAGGCAACGCCTTAGTCAACCCACCCTCCTTTCCTAGCCCGGCTCTCCCTCCCCAACGGCTCGTTCCCATTCACGCAGGTGTAAGTTGCACGCGCTCTCTTAGCTTCTAGTCGAGCTCGACTCGATACCAGTGAGATGGTGCAAAGGGCCAGAATCGCAAGCATGTGAGAAATGCGGACACCGAAGCCGAAAGATTTGGGCCAAGATCGAGCACCGATAATCAGCCATCAGAAATGCCTCCAAGGCTGCTGAGTGTCAGAGTAATAATGGGTCATATTACCGCAGCTTGCCAGTCATCTCACCCACCCCATCTTAGTTGAGCCTGGTATTCCGCAAGGTGTCGGGCTTGATCAGCAAGAGTGCTCACAAGAGGTTGGGCAGTTTCAAATTTGATTATGTCGATTTTCTGTCGTTTTGGCTTGCTGACTCATTGACTCGTCAATATCTGCGTCAAAATCCGTACCTGCCTTTCAAACTCCAGTCAAATTTGGGAAAGCGCGGGCGGTGACAGATCTTCAACCATCTTCCATCAACCGGAATGCCCATCCTGACTCTGACCTTGCTAATACGACAGCCAACTTGACTCTACGCCTGTTCAATGGCTTTCAAGTTTGTACGGCCTTATTTTGTGTTTATTGCTTGCTGCCAGTGTTTCCCCAAGAATGTTCCTAAGGGCTTGACCGTGCACTAACATTTCACGGCTAGACTCGGGACTTGTTTCCGTCCTATAACGGGGAAGGAAATGTGGAAGCCGTCAGGGACATCAAGATTGGAAGTCCCAATTACTACTGCTATCTGCTGTACGAGCCTATCCCGGCTGGCTATGCGAACCAACACAGCTTGTTTTGGACACACACTAAGGACCCTGGACGTAGCGGCGTCTAAATCAACCAATGGTAACCGTCCTGACGCCGACGATTGTCTTCGTGACCCAGAAGTCATTCGCCGTGTGCGTGGATCAGCAACAAAGCCATCTCACACCGGCGTGGCTCTGGACAGCGACCCCAATCGGAGCATTGATCAAATTTTGGACGGGGCGGTGCCGGCTGTCGCTGAGCAATCTTATCCACGCCCCTCCCTTCGGCCATCATGATCCCATTACCCATGGCGGCCAGCCGCCCTTCTCATCCTGGAACAACCACCATGTCTGTCATCCCAACCCCTGTTGGGCCATGCCGATGTGGATCTGGCCCCCATGAAGCTATACCAGCTGTGCTGTATAATACGGAGTACAGTAGTTTGCTCGATGCAACGAACCGTTTACATGTTGTGTCTGGAGCCACCACGAGGGGCGAGGACGTTTCGTCTCCTTCCGGTGGTCATGTGGGTCAGAGGCAGTCGTGATCGTGCAGACCATACAGTACTCGGATGATAACTTGGGGCTCTCTGGGGCATACTACAGAGATGCCTAACCGACCCGCCCACGTTGAACGGATGGCCGGAGCGGTGATCTTGAAGGTGTTTTGGTTAATGATGATGTTGTTCCACTGTCTTTCGACTCTCTTTGCTGAATATTCCACTGAGAACGGTACGATTTAACCATGATTCGATAAGGTGGGATAACCTGTCTGGTCAGCTGTCACGATATGAGACTCCTTGTTAACTAAGCTTGTTCTCCCTCCGAAGAGTTCCTCTTGTTGTCGCAGACCATTTTCTGCAACTTTTTTTTAAATAACAAAACTTCCTTTCGTCTGAACCATATAATTGCTTTTTCCGGCTATTCACATCTCTCGTAGCCGACGGTATGACAACTGGCACACTACACCAAGTTTGCTTGTTCTATGAACAGAGGCATTTTTATCTGACAACTTCTCCATTTATTCTCCCTATGGAATGGCACAACACGGTCGTCCTGTTGCTCAATAAGCCCTCTATTTTCTCGAGTAACCCCTTTTTCGTATATTGACGCATTCTCTGACCCCTACTCTGACCTTGTCTCTGACCCTCATGTACATTAATTCTGACCCGGACCCTGACCAGTTTGGATAACTCTGAGCCCTTTACCCCATTCTCACACACCCAAGGGAATTCAGTCTGACTTCTCTGTCAAACCAAATTCAATTGGCCTCGTGTTTCTCCCCTTCATGGTGTAATTGGCATTGCCTAACTGAAAACCACCATCCCAATTGTCCTCGCCATTGTACAGCAAAATACTTCTGTGCTTCCGCCATTGGAACGGTCAATCTAATATCAGTAACCAATCTAATATCAGTAAGGAGTGGAAGCCCAGTCTCTGATACGAGCAACCACATCCCCAAGCTGTCATCAACTTTCATTGGGCTACTCAAATGGTCCGGGTGGACCCAGCCTAGGCTGACTTCTCTACCGTCTGAGTACCCTAAAACCACACCGGAAATTCTCTGTGCGTCCTTACACAGTTTTATTTCAGACACATCTTCGAGCGAGGCAGTGGAAAAATAGAAGAACTCGGTAGGCAGGCATTGAGGGTATGTTGATGTCGGCTCCAGTAAATCGGGCTTGGTCTTGATCGGATCCTGTACTGGAGGCTCGTTCCCGCATCTAATCTCTTGCAGACCGCTTCTCAGGTCGAGATAAAACAGGCTTGGTTCATTTGACAACTTCGCGACCAGCTCATATGAAAACCTGTGGCTGTTCCTTGGGTGTGCTTCCATGACCAAAGTTCGTTTAGAATTAGTAACAAGCTGGACGTGAGTCAGTTTCTAATCTCGGGTGATTGAACTATTGACTTACGATCAATGTGCTTTGCTCTAAAGCCTTGGAGCGAACCCAGACTTCGGAAATCCATTCGTTGTCGTTGACAGGCAAATAGAGCCAATGTCCACAAGGTCTTCGAAACTCTGGCATTTCAGATAAAGAAATAGGCCGATGCGTCCCGTGCACATGGAACGATATAACTCCAAGTCCCGGCATACCGAGTATCCCGTAGTATCTTTGTCGTTCAGAACCACCGATATCATCTTGGATGGTGAGTGTGCACTCTCACGTTTGTAGGCGCAAAACATTGTCAGAGGGTACGGCGGCTGAGACCACAGTGTATCCGCCTTAGAATTTCCGTCAGAATCGGTAAGTGTGCGAAGCTTCACTCCCTAGAAACCAAACAGCGGTTAGCATACGCATTAGCCGTGATGCCTGGGGCTTAAATACGTCGCTTTTCGTAAGAAGTTTGTCAGTATTTTCGGATATGCGCAAAACTTGCCACCACGTGCCTGCGTGCTCGGTGATAGATGCCTTCATTTCAGAGCTAGCAAACACAACACGTTTTATGCCCCAAGAATCACGGGCAATGAACACGGTGTCGATATCTTTTCTAGACGCAGGCTTGTAAAGTAGATGCTCATAAGGGCCCCCGGTTTTCTTGTTTGACAAAGAGACAATATAGAATCTAGTATGCGTTTTGATAAAGCAAGCCCAGACGGTGGAGGCCAGACAGAGCTGGATAGACCATGGTGTGGTTGACTGTAATGCGCAGGTAGACGCAATGCACCATGTCGGGACTAGATAGCCAGCCACCATATGCCGCATCTCCAGCGGTAGGCGTTGCATCAGCAGTAAATCAAGACTCAACTTCGACGGTAGGCTTTTTATGAGCTTTGTATTATCGGAGGCGTCAACAAGGCTTTCCAACACGGCTTTCACATCGACCAGGGATGCTTCTGGTGTTGATTCGAAGTCGTGACATGTCGCCGACCATAAGTAGGGCGACAGCGTAGCCCTAGCCAAATGGCACTGTCCGTGGAGGGCAGTCGCGAGTCCGCTTTCATGGCTACAAGCCCACCCGCAAAACCAGTACGTAGCCTTTTGCACCTGTGATCCATCAATAAGATCTACGCGGACGTTATTGAGAGCGGTAAAGGTGCGTATGTTGAATGTCATAGACTTATGTGCCTCAACCGTTTCGCCAGTTTGGAACTTAAAAAGTACAAAGCCCACAGTGGGGCCTTATGCAATGATTGTACTCCGGCATAGAGCCCATCATCGACTGAGAGAGTAGAGTGGGTAGAGAGGCGAGTAAGATTAGGAGTGGCTCCAAAAACATTCTGATGCAGTGCCGGCCCCTGCTTCCTGTCAATCATTCTTTACACGGATTTCTGCCCAACAAATTTCTCCTGCATGTATGTTGAGACTATGCCAAAGATGTTGAGACCACTGTAATTAGTTGATATGTAAACCTTCGAATTCTGCGAAGTCAAGATACTGGCTGTTCTGAGTAGAAAGTTCAACTTCGTTCGCAAGCTCCATCGAGCTGTCTCATTTGTGGAATGTCTGTCAAAAGTGTGTTGAACCACCTGCAGATTTCTCCACATAGATTGTGTTGTCATCATCAAAGTGCGCTTCAACGCCCCGTTGCTGACCTTCAACAGCTGCTTAGTTGAGTACGGCGTTTGTGTACCAATACCGCGACACCCATTGAGCCTTCTACTGTACAACAAACAGGTGCAATCGAAGTCCAAGCAGCCCTCGTTATTCCGGTCCTGTCATGTCCAAGGATAAAAGTATGCCGAGTACGGAGGAGGGACGTGGGTATCAGTCCCTCCCCCATTGGCTCTGGAGAAACTGTTCCGCCCACCACAGCTCAACGATTTGACTATTGTGCGAAGTACCGGTGGGCTGATCAATCATCCATGACAACTCTAGCGAGCGTTTCCCTCACGCTTTGCCTGGCTTTGCCCAAAAGGCCCACTGTCGAGCGCTAGAATTGAGAGTTGGTGAAATCGGGGTCTGTCTATCTTTGAAATGACCAGATAAGACGAACTATTAGTATGCATCTACACACGTTCAGTTTGCAGCCATTTTTGCTTCATCATGAATTTTCGCCAGCATGGTCATTCATGGGCGTCATGCAAGGACAACGCTTTGCGAGATCCGACTGCGCCTTTTCTAAAATACGAAACAGACATCTAATATTTGTATTGATTCCGGTCAAACTGAAGTACAACATGGTCAATTAGCCATGCGTTGCTGATCGGCCCCTATCCTATCCTGCAAGTAAGTCATTTTGATGCAGTTTCCCTGCAGGTCACGGACGTCACGTTCAGTTAAAGCAAGGGAATTCTAATCAAGAAAAAAAGACGGAACTACAATAAACGCTCCAGGTCTTTTTAACACATTTTGGTTCTGAAATCCGATGTTTTATATCCTCACTCCGAACACTAGATCCATGAAGTCACATGACAGTGACCAAGACAAGAAGGAAGACTTGGGCAGCCCCTATCTTCCGAACGGGAAATACAGAAGTCCAGAATGTTATCCTCATCAAATACCTCAGCCAGACAAATCAAGTCTTACGAGGATAACTACAGAATCTGTTTGATTAGCCAGAAACCCGGCATAAAATTGACTCCCTTATCTCAGATTATCTTCCTGGTCCCGGTACTTCTACATGCAGAGGTCACAGATGGGATCATCGTTTGAAGCATTTTCTTCAGTCAAGATGAAGGAGACACAATAATGAAAACTAGGAACATGGCATCGAAACTGGATGTGAAAAGAAGTTTCTACTCGCGAAGCCTGGTGCAGTATGATCTTTGTCTCGTAAAAGGGCTCGAGATGGCTTATCTGACACCAGGCGCACAGGCATGGGATAGCCCTCCTTCCCCCCAAGTACGGTCATCCGAGACATGGAATCCCTACATTGAGAACCATCAGTGAAACCTGATCTGTGATGGAACGAGACACCATGGTACAAGTACAGATATGTCGAAATTTGTCCATTGGGGGGTCAAGGGCCTCTTATTGGGCTCTGCTGTGTCTCAGTCTCTACACGGACTCTTCAACCACTTTGAGAAGGCGGACCGAACGACCGCCTCGTTGCTTCCGAGAACAGACCACTTACTTGGCAACGTTGCCTTTAAATGGCTAAAGATGTTAGAATTAGTCGTCCCATTCTATTTATCAGGTTTATATTGGGCACAGCCTTACTCTTACAGGCTATAAATCGAGGCATCTAACCGCCTGAGAACCTCGAACCCCTATTTTTGGGGTTGAAAATAGCCAGTCCGCACGAGCAGTAAGGGCTCGCCACTTGATCCCTCAAAGTTTGGTTGGTAGATGCAGAGCAACCTGTCTACTTTCCATCTTCAGTCTTGGCACTTTAGTCAGGCACGACAACGCACAAAGTTGGCGGTGTTCTGCGGCGGATGTAACATGAAAAAAACATCAGTCCTTGCAACGCCAGCCACATGTCAACCGTTGGTCAGTCTATTTGCAAACCAAAAGCGGCAGGAGGCATAGCAAAGGTAGGCTAGGCGTTTGATGGCTTCTCTAGAGTTATAATGCCTCGGTCGGTCCGACTCCCCACAAGAAGCAGCTCGGATGTCGGTGAGTTCGCGGAGCGAGACACGCCTGATGCCGCTGTCTCGGGGGACAGAGAGCGGCCTAAACCACTACCCCGAAGGTATTGGCTTCAGGATTGTATCGGCATTGCTAGCTCACGTTTGTCGGATTAAAACGCAAGGTCCACGCGCTTACTCTAGGGCTAAGTGCTCAACACGCCTCTCGTAAGTGCCAACACACACCATTACTCAATTCACTCGGCAAGTGGAGTTGACAAGTCACATATTAGTCGGCCACTATCCTCAGGTTACACCATGACCACGGGGTCAAGTATTAGACATGCTTAGTATGCTCTCTGTGGTACAAGGCACTCAAAGAAATCGAGGGCTCTTCCACTGGGTCTCCAACAAGACTCCGGAAGCCACAAAGACAAATCGGGGGATCAACCAGAGCCCTATCTTGTATTAAAAGAAATACATACAAGAAAGGCTACTGGAAAGATGACGGTTCCGTCTACGCACCTAGATTCGTTCGCACGACAGGATTCAGGGAAACCCCGGAGAAGGGACGGGGTGGCACGAAGCAGGTACACTTGATCCATATACATACACCATTCATGGAAAGTGTCCGGCACAAATATCCGGCACCATTTGCCATGTGTCTGCGGGGTGACCCTGAACAAGACGCGGCCGAGGAATCCGAAGAGCGAAAGAGTAATGGGATTCATAGCTTCGGACAGACTTCTCGTGGCCAGCATGACTGCCAAGCAAGTCACATCGAAAAAACCAACGCCACCCCGAGCTGACGGTCTATCATGTCTACGATGTTTGGAATTGACACTAGGGCTTGATTGTCCCATTCTGTACCTTGCTGGAACGGCTGGAAACAGGAGCATCTCGGACGTCAGCACTACCAGAATCGGTATTCAACGGACCGTGGCGGTTCGGGTCAGAATCTCATTCAAGTATACTGAAGAAGACGGCTGGACCCGGACTAGCAAGTGGGATAGATAGTCGGCTACTTCCTAATGAGTTTTCTCTGAGATCCATTTGTAAGACTGAGTCATTACAGTGCTCGCGTACCAGCTCAGCCCAGGCAACGTAGACAGGCTGCGATTCTGTGTATCGTTGCGGGGTTACAGATAGTCGGCCGACTTGAGTCAAATTATTATGACGGGGGTTCCTGGACTGTGGCACTGGAAGTTCAAATCTCTCGTTGCAGGCAAGGCCCTCAGGGAAACGCCATGCCAGCAGCTGTAGTCGAAAGATGGACTGCTATGAAACCCCGGGGTTTCGACTCCATGTGCCCTGGCCTTTGTGTTGCGGACCGGACATGGGGGGAGTCAAGTCGGTTGCGCAGATGCGGATGCGGCACCAACTTTCGCATCTGATCGGTCACTAACTACCCTGGAGCCGGGCCAAGAAAAAAACACACGGTCCGTCCAGTGCTGTTTGTTGGTGACTGATTGAAACCTCGTGTTTGGTATCGAGTTTCTTTTCGAGCTTCACCAAGGCTCGGTTTCGGGGAGCTGGCGGTTGCGTCTCGGCAGCTTCAGGTCTCGGGCACCATCA